AAAGTTTTTGAAATTTTAATAACTTTCATAAACTATCCTGGATTTCTACCAAACTTGGAAAGAAGTTTGTTTATGATCATAAGATAGTATCCAGAAGTAAATTTTGTAAAAAAAAAATCCATTTTTTCCTATTTTACTTATAAATGGACTTAGTTTTTCTGCCAAGAAACATTACATTCACTCTGTGGTTGAAGTTTTTGAAATTTTAATAACTTTCTTAAACTATCCTGGATTTCTACCAAACATGGAAAGAAGCTTGTTTATGATCATAAGATAGTATCCAGAAGTAAATTTTGTAAAAAAAAAAAATCCATTTTTTCCGTATTTTACTTATAAATGGACTTAGTTTTTCTGCCAGTTAACATTACATTCACTCAGTGGTTAAAGTTTTTAAAATTTTAACAACTTTCTTAAACTATCCTGGATTTGTACCAAACTTGGACAGAAGCTTGTTTATGATTAAAAGCTAGTATCTAGAAGGAAATTTTGTTAAAATTTTGTTTGATTTTTTCCGTATTTTACTTATAAATGGACCTTGTTTTTCTTCCAGTTAACATTACATACAGTCTGCAGTTTAAGTTTTTAAAACATTTATTAGATTCATAAACTATCCTGGATTTTTACCAAACTTGGACAGAAGCTACTAACAATCAAAAGATAGTATAGAGAGGAATATTTTTATTTATTTTTTTCCTCATTTTTGTTGAGCCTGCGATTAACAGCAAAAGTAGGCGAGACACTGGGTTCCGCGGAACCCTTACGAATTTTTTGATATGTTGTCTAGCCCATATACATTCTTTTATAGTACACTTGAGGACATACTGAGATAAAAGCAACATAGTCTGTTGATGCAGTCACATGACTGATCTTGTGTCTGTCTTTTCTCTTTATGTATATTAGGTCATAAAATTAAAAAATCAATTAGATCTAACATCTTAGCTACGTGGATTCATAAATTTATGGTCAGAACATATGTTTTCGTACGTCATATGAATTCGTACTATGCATGCTTTTTCAATGGAAATTATGGCGTCACTATGCATTCTTAATAGCACGAAAACCCATGAGACGAGGATACAATCTCTGTATTCTCACTATTCTACTTACTGATAGTAAAAGTGCTAGAAAATGCTAAACCTGTTTTTATATAAATTATATGAAAAAATAGATAATTCAAAATACTGTGTACTTTTTTTTATTATTGACCATTTTTTTTAATAAAACTGAAATATATATGAAATATATACATATATATATTTTCTTTTTATAAAAAAATATTGCTGAAATGATCCGCAACTAACCGTCATGAATAACAACTTCAATCTGTATGTTCCTATATGGTTTGGGATTTATGATATAGCAGCAATGCATATATTTGAAAAGCTTTAACATGAATCTTTGAATAGTCAAGTTGAAGGGACATTTGATGATGTATGCTAAAATAATGAAATAGATACTTTATTCCATAAAAACTAAATACAAGCTTGCACTATAAACAATTTGTAAAAGTTGCAAAAGTTGAAAGTAATTGAACATTTTTCTGGCTGTCAAAAAGTGTGCACTGAACAACTGCTTAAACACAGTCTTGACAGGTGATCATAGTCTAGAAAATAAAATTGAATTGAATGCAGTGTTTAATAAAAAATAAAAAAGGAAATCACTGGCTAATAGATTAGAGGAATTCTGTGAATATTTTTTTTTTGCTTTCCATTAGGTATGGTAAAGGACAATAATACTTTCTATAGAAAAATTACATATAGTTGCAGTTTTGAATTCTTTTGCAAGATAAGCAATTTTTCAGCAGGAATAGAGAAGCTAGATGTGCAATTTTATTATTATTAATATAGGGGTTCATTCTGCATTGCAAAATATACTTTTCCTGTCCCCATCATTTTTTCAAATACCTAACAATAGGAATAGAAGAACATAGTTTTCATTCAAATGTACTGAATTCTTAAGTATTCAATCTCCCTTATTTCTTCAAGCAATGCACTGAGAATTGTAATAAAAATTATGGATTGATTACATATGATTATAGCACTGGCATTTTATGCAATATACACCCCATTTGTCTTCTTTTATAGCAACAGATTTTTTCCCTTTTGATTGCAAAACTTTTTTTTTCGAAATCAACCATCTTTGAGATATGATTTACAGAATAATTTCATGTAGTATAAATCAACGGTAATAAGTGAAATATTAAACTTATCATTTGTATTTTTCATATGTCAATCATCCAACATAAGGTCAAGAAGTGTGTATTGAGTTGTGTAATTTAATCTCTGCTCAAAAATGTAATTCAAAGGTTAGGTAATTAACCGAAAGAGGTTGTATTCCCAATTATAACTCTACCCTCTCAGGTTAACTTTTTCTTTATAATGATTGTTGTCAATCATACTGGTATTGTATCATTACACGCACGTAATAAATGTAGAACATTTGTGTAGTAATTTTCAATATTTGCAAACAATAAGACAGAAATGATATTTTTCTTCGAAATGCATGCTTTTTTATTAAATAGTTGTTATTATACCTTATATACCACATATATTAGGAAATGTAACTTTAAGGACAACATAACCCTGGTCTTTAGCTGGGGTTCGTGTTGCTCATGCTTTAGTTTTCTATGTTAGGTTTTATATACTATTATATGACTTGTGATCGTTTTTCTTTTCATGCCATGGCATCGTCGGTTTGTTTTCGACTTATGCATTGATTATCCCTTTGATATCGTTAATGCCTCTCCCCCCCCTAAAAAAAAACAAAAACAAAAAACCAAGCTTCAACTGAAAACCTATTAATTGTTGTAAATATGATTTAGCTCGCCTGATCCAAAAGTCATGTAAGCTTTTGTCATGGCTTGGCGTCCGTCCTCGTCGTAAACTTTAAAAAAAATCTTTTCTTCGGAAACCTTTGGAAAAATTTCAACCAAACTTTAACTGAATGATCATTAAGGCATCAAGTATAAGTTTGTATTTTGTTCTTGTCTAACTAACAAGACTACCATGTCTGTAAAAGAACATTAGGACAAAAGGCATTAATTGTCTAAAATGTTGAAAACCTTTAAATAGGGAGAAAATTTGATAGGAATAAAATGCTCAGAATGGCAAAATTTATTTCCTACAAATTTGCACCACTATTATCACAAGACACTTATATAATTTAGTGTCGTTAAATGAAGATTTTTGTCTAATTTTCCCCTATTATTTTGAAAACTATAATACATAGGTAGAAACTGTAACGAGAAAAAAATGATCATTTATATTTTTACACCCGATTATTTCCTTTTCTATACTTTTTGCTTATTAGTCTCTTTTCTTTATTTTTTGTCCTGTATTCTTGATTTTTGCCCTTTGTTCTAGATTTTGTAAACCACTTTAAGACTCTCGTACATTTCTATTCATTAGGTATGGAACAAGGTGATGTTCCTAGTCCGACATTGTTTCATCTCTATATAAATGGTCTTGTTAACCATGCAAAATACCCAGAAAAAAATGATGTGCGATGTTAAACAAACAAACAAACACACACACAAATACTTTAACATTTAATCCAATGGAGAATAAAATTACAGGAGCTTGGGCAAAGTGTATTATCTGGACGACTGGACTGGACCTTTGCACTGTACTGGACTGGACTGGACTCTCATAAATTTATCTATTTAATAACATGCGCTTATTTCTATTTGTTAATTTCTTATCTATTTGGCTATGTTGTTGATGCTGTTTTATTCAAAATATAATTTGAATTCACAATCTGCCTTTCATAAGCAATAGCATTAATTGATGACATTCGACCTCCCGTTCAATTGTTTTTTTATCTATTAAGTTACAGATTGGAATGTCAGCATCAATTTTATTACATGAGGCAGACACAATGACACATTGTGTAATGTTATCTTTGTAATACATTTATCGCCTTGTTCCAGCCTAATCCAGGCCCGTCAACAGTCCAGTCCAGTCCAAGAGTCCAGTCAAGTCCAATCCAGATAAATCACTTATCCAGGAGCTTGTTATGTTTCGCCGCTAACATATAATAAACATCATGCTTGAAGGAGGTTCAATCATATTCGAAGTTGAAGGGTTTTTCTATTGTTAATTTGAATGCCATGCGCATTTAAAATCATCCAATTGAAAGACACCCCCAAAACTCCAAAAAGTTGTGACAAATACGGACAAGGAGAAGAAAACTCGAAAATTACGAATAATTAAAGTTTTTGTAATAAACAGAAAATTTACAGAAATAGACCGTATTGACTGAAATGAAATATAACATAGCTCCTGAAGGGAGGGTTTTATTACTCTCCAACACAATCTTTCAAGAAAGCTATCTTATGTCGTTCATTCTATGCAGAATGAAAATAAATGTAGAATTAAATTTCAGGATAGCCATGAATTTGTATCAAGTAGTGGAGTAAAACTAGGTGATGTTCTTAGTATCACATTGTATAATCTCTATAAAATTAGTCTTGTTAACCATACAAACACCTACATATTAACATTTCGTTGTTTTACTGGAAAATGTCCATTTGGTATTCATTTTGGTGTATGCAGGGCACATTATCATTAATGTTTTAACAGCGTTCAAGGTTAAACAAAGATACAAAGTCGATGAATGGAGTACAAAGTATCATATAAACAATGGGATATCAGCGAATAAAGATAATTACAACGTTACTTATTTTTTCACCTTACTGCTCGTTTTGGTCAGTTTTTAGTTTTCTATGTTGTGTTACTTATGTTATTGTTTGTATCGGTTGTTTTTCGTTTTTTGGCATGGCATTGTTAATTGTCATGTGACTTATGAGTTTTCATATCCCTTTGCTATCATCCGCCTCTCTTTAATGCTTTTGTTTTATTTTCTTAACTATCGTTTTTGTAGTATAACACTTTGGTCATTCTCAAAAGAAATGATACTGATTTGCATTTGATTCAAGTGACAACGAAAAATGGAATTAAATCGCATATACCACTTACAATATTTATAAAAAAAACAGAGCATTCACGATGAATACATATAATAAGCTATAATAATCTGTTATACATTTATAGAAGTGCATAAACAAAATAAATAATGTCTAAAGGTTCGTGAGAACAAACGAAAAAGAGGAAAACCTTAAAATTTTCTTGTTTAAAAAGATACAAATATTACAGGCGAAGTACATTGACATGTAATATCAAGAAATTTGCAGTCCACAACGATAAAAATAATCCCTTTCCAATTTTCATACCCTGTAGGGTTTCATCAAATCTTCGTATGTGTCGGCACGTCGAATTACTTTTACGGTATCATTATCGACCATAATTTCAGCTGCTCGTCGTCTCATATTGTACGTCATTGACATACTACCACAATACGCACCGGTGTCGAAAACTGCTAATAAACAGCCATCATGTGGTGTGGACAACAGTCTGTTCTTACCGAGAAAGTCTCCACTTTCACAAACTGGGCCAACAACATCATAAAACTTTTTGCCGCCTTTTACTGCGGGTTCTGCCAAGTCGATATGATGGTATGCACCATACAGACTCGGTCGGATAACCTCGTTCATTGAACCGTTCACGACTAAAAAGTGTTTGTCACCACTTTGTTTACAGCCCAATGCACGACATAACAAAATGGCAGCATTGCCTACCAATGATCGTCCAGGCTCAATTATAAGGTGAACATCATCATCAATATATTGTTTAATACTTTGTATCAAATCGGCTGGAGTTGGCATAATACATCTGACTCCAAGTGAATTTTCCAGTTTTTCTACTATTTGAGGATTATCCATTTTACAAATATTTTCTGTCAATTCTAAAAACTGCGTTGCTGCAATTTTGTTAGATTTGAAATCCTCTGTGATTGATTGAAAATCACTATGGGACGATATTTCATTAAACACATTTTCAAGTTTATTTTTGCGACTTTCTTCTATATTCTTCCACCCTAGGGTTTCTAATTCCTTCTTTCGATACTGGATGCCAAGCCCTCCTCCTATATTGATATATTTCATGGAACTAAACCCTTTTGCTTTTAAATTTCTAAATATTTTTGAAACCTTTTCAGTACTCTCTGCAATAGCTGCCACATCATCTATGGTGGATCCAAGATGGCTGTGCAGGCCAACAAGAGTCAGCAATTGTTCATTTTGTAAAATGGTAACTACTTCGTTGAATTCAGCTCCGTCGACCCCAAATTTCGACCCAATCTTTCCTGTTAATACATGCTCGTGTACATCAACCTTGATATCAGGATTCACCCTCAATAGAACTCTAGCCGGTCTATTTTCTCGTTTGCAAACGGCTACCGTTTGTCGCAGATTAAATACACTGTCAATGTTCAACAGAACTCCATTTTGAATGGCTAAATCAATTTCCCAATTTTGTTTTCCGTTTCCGTTAAACACCAAATCTTCTTTCGGAAATTGTAGTTCTAAAGCTATTTTCAGTTCCAAACCGCTGACTAAAGTAAGAGAACACCCATTTTCCTTGAACATTTGAAGAATTGACGGATTGGCATTTGCTTTCATGGAATAATTTATTGTTGATGGAAAAGACTGTTCGTTCAGTTCATTTTTGTAGTTCCTTATGTTCGATATAATCTTATGCTTACTGAATACGTACACAGGTTCCTCTTGTGATATTGGAAATATATTATGAACGCTGACATTTTCTATGTGTAACACACCATTGCGGAAACAAAACACTTCCCCCATTTTCCATTTATGATCGTGATCGCTTAAGTGCAAGTTTGAAAGTTTGTGTTTATATGTGACAATAAATACTTATATGTTTGAATACACCTGGTTATTAAGTAAATCTTTCTGTAAAAGTGTGTTATCTATAGTGAGATTAAAACTAGTACGTTCTTATGATCACATTTAATAAAAGCTGTCCTCATCTCGATTAAATATGTCAAAACAGTGAAAATAGGTTACACCAAACGGACTTCCTTCACAATCTAATAACAGATTTATTATTGTTAACGAGCTGACTTTTGTTTAGTATTGCAATATATAATGATATTCGATAAAAAGTCGAATACTCAGGAATAAATTGTAAACAAGCATAAAATGGTAAATAAGAAAAAAAACAGAACAGTTAACTGAAAGGAATAGCACCATAAAAATGAAAATAGAGGAGAAATTTTTATCTGGCATACATATACGAAATACGAATATTTACATTTCTCAATCTTAGTTGTCACTGGACGTTAGGCAAATAACAATCAATAAATCTATCATATTCTCGTGGTATTTTTCTTGATTTCGGTATCTTGTAATTTGTATTACTTCGAAAGGGAAGATCAGGATGATTGATTGATTAATTGGTGTTTCACGCCACTTTCAACACTATTATGCTATTTCGTGGCGGTCAGTTTTTTATTGGTGGAGAAGCCGGAGTGCGCGGAGAGAACTAACGACCTTCGGTAGGAAAACTGACGATTCTAGTCAATTAAGATTTGAGTCGAGTGCACCTGCCCCGTGCGGGATTCGAACTCACAACCTCAGTGTTGACTGGCTAGTGATACAGTAGTTGGACTACTTAGACCACTTGGCCACCGAGGCCCCCCAGGGAAGATGAGGAAGCTAGTTAACTGTTTGTTTTACTGCAAGTCCCGAAGTATATCACAAGCTCGGTAGTCTGCACTGTTTTTTTTTTTTGCACAAACTGAAAAGCAAGTTTTAAATATCTTATCATCGGTTTGGAATTGTTCTTTATTTTATATGTTCTTTCAAAGAATAGCTAGTAAATAAATCGCCGAATATTGTATTTTCACTTTCAATGGAATATACGAGAATAATTTCTAATGATAGAATCGGTTCTCTTGGACTGTTGTAAACTTTTTATATTTGTTTCAAAAGTTGATTTTAAATGTAATGATCTACCTCGGATCAGGTATTTTTCCATTCAGTATTAGCGTAATGAAAGTTTACTTAAATTTTGGTCCTCCTTTTAGTAAGTGATATAACGAGCTTGTGTTGAATTGTTAGAAATGTATAAATTGGACAACATATGCCAAAGAAGTAAGGTAGTGTTGATATTAATATGTAGTAACTGCGAGTACTCTCAGATCTGTACTTAGTGTTTTTTGTTGAAGGGATGTATAAGTACCCTGCCACGTATACTCTGTGTTTTTGTTATATGTATTTCTGTTTGAAACCATCTAATGAGTTAAGTCTTTTTCAACTGATTGTTATAGTTTGTTCTTATGTTGTACTGATACACCACTGTCTCAGGTTAGGGGAGGGTTTGGCACCCGCTAACATGTTTGACCCCGCCAAATTTTATATGTGCCTGTCCCAAGTCAGGAGCCTGTAATTGAGTGGTTATTTGTAGCTGTTTATCATATGAGTTGTTTGTTTATTGTTTTGTACAGTTCTTGTATTGTTCTGTTGAACCACTGTCCTATGACTAGTGGGAGTGTTGGGCGCCCGCTTACATGTTTAACCCCGCCACATTCTGTATGTGCCTATCCTAAGTAGGGAGCCTGTAACTCAGTGGTCGTCCTGTGTTTCTGTGTATCATATTTATTTTTCGTTCAATATTTTACATAAATAAGCCGTTAGTTTTCTCGTTTGAATTGTTTTACATTTGTCATTTCGGGGCCTTTTATAACTGACTATGAGGTGTGGGTTTTGCTCATTGTCGAAGGCCGTACAGTGACTTTTAGTTGTTAATTTCTGTGTCATTTGGTCTCTTGTGGAGAGTTGTCTCGTTGGCAATCATACCACATCTTCTTATTTTTATATGTCATTTTCATTTAGAGCTATTTTCCTAATCCTTGAAGTTTAAAGGTTTGGTTGGCTTGTATAAATGTTTGCTCACGCATTGTAATTAAGACTGACATCTGCAAGCAATAGACAGGGCTTCAGCTAATAACATTTAAGTATAATGTATACAAGCTGAAGCCTTTCGTGTTATCGTAACCGTTGTATTGAAACTGGACGTTATGTTGGTATTATTAATTGATAAAATTGTGTGTTCTGTGATTTAAGCGTGATAGAAGATCCAATTCATTTTATTCAACAATGTAGCAGATACGCTTATACTGATTTGCGTAAAAATGTACAAATAATATTACTGGTCTAGGCCATCAACTTTAAAGTTGACAGAATTATTGTCTTTTGAAAACACGAAACAGCTCTGTAACCTAGAGAAATATTACAGGATTAAACGCCTTTCTAAAGAAATTTATTGGTGTTTAAACTTGACCGAGTCACTCACATACAAATAAATTTATTATATGTTCGTGAGTGACTTGGTCCAGTTTATACGCCAATAAATTCCTTTAAAAAGACGTTTAATCCTTATAATTCTCTAAAATTCTCTAAAATTGGAGATAATTAATTTAATTTCCCCACCCGTAACCTCTATCACACGTACATTGTATATTTGTATCATTGAATTGGCCCTGCGCATGAATATATTTTTTGTTTAACGCAAAAAAGTGTATTCCATGAAATTTGCTTTCTGATAAAAAGTAAACTACAAAAATATCTTATTATAATTCAAATTAATGTTTTGTGTTTATAATGTAATTTAACGACGAACGCGAAGGGAAAATAAATATTTTTTTACGTCGAGCTGGTTTATGTTATCATCACCGCCATCTTGTTAACATTGGTTACATAAAGTAGTTCCGTAAATGTCGTCTATCGAAAAATAAATAACTTCAAGAGCAACTACCGGAAGCCCTCTCGACCAATCATATAAACGTATTTCCTAATATGCAAATCATATAGGATTCATATTCACATCTCTATTAAATTAAGAAATAGTTTATCGTACATATTTTGTAAACATAAAACGTCTGACGTCACCTATCTATATATATATATATATATATATATATATATATATATATATATATTTTATTGAATGCTGTTTGCTGTATGTGTCTATTGATTATGGATCTGTGTCTATTGATTATGGATCTGTGTCTATTGATTATGGATCTGTGTCAACAAATTACTAATATATTTTCCAATTATTGATCTGTCAACAAATACCTAGTCTGTAATCTAATTATTGATCTATTTAAAATATACAACTATGGTAAAAGAGGGACGAAAGATACCAGAGGGACAGTCAAACTCATAGATCGAAAAAAAACTGACAACGCCATGGCCAAAAATAAAAAGACAATCAGACAAATAATAGTACAGATGACACAACATAGAAAACTAAAGATTAAGCAACACGAACCCCACCAAAAACTGGGGGTCATCTCAGGTGCTCCGGAAGGGTAAGCAGATCCTGCTCCACATGTGGTAACTGTTATCCAATTATTGATCTGTGTCAGCAAATTACAAATTTGTAATCAAAACATTAATCTATGTCAACCAATTACTAATTAGTAATCACAATATTGATCCGTGTCAACAAATTAATAATCATAAATCAAAGTATTGATCTGTGTCAACAAATTACTAATCTGTTATCCAATTGCTGATCTATTTCTAAAATTGTCCATTTAATAGATAGTGTTAAGGACCTACGGTTTCAACTATCTCAGGCAAAGATGACCTACGATGGATTATTATCTTAAGGTCCCTTTTTGTCATCTAGCTCTTCAACTATTTCGGTTCTAATACATCCTTGACTTTCAAATAATCGGCTTTGAGCGTTCCCGATGCAGGTTAATTCATTCGATCGCATGCAATTATAGCGTGTTGTTTTCAGTTTTGAATAATTTATTCTTTTACAAATTTTAAACAAACAATAATGTGTTTTGCAGACTGATAAAATGAAATGAAATAATCATATGATTCCGGGTTTCTGGGAATATAGGATATACTAGTAATGTTTTTTTTACACATCCTTTATAATAACATATCAATAGTTTATTAAAACATCTCATTGTGACTCTGAGATGACGAACAGTTATAAAAGCGCTGTTTCTTAGCTTTTTGTGTGTTTTTGCTCTGCATGTACTGATTTTGTGTCAAGGATGGATACCCCATAGCCTTTGTTTTTGTATTATGATAATTTGTAAAAGAAAATTGATAATGTGTTCTAATTATTGATATTACACAGGAATAGAAACTTAACTTGGATGGGTTTAGGACACAATAAAAACACATTTTGATATTTAGCTAGGACAGGAAGCCTCTGCGTCTGTCTTAATTAGTCTTGTATTAACGAATAACGTCAAACTCTGCTAATTTTTCCTAGGGATAGATTTAGGATTTTCGATTGTCTCTTTCGTTTCTTCCAACCTTTTTTTTTCAATTGCAGATCAGTTCAGTAAAAGAAGTTGAAAATTTAAATACTATGGAGTCTAAAACTATAAAAGTCGAAGACAAACTATAGCCATCAGGATAAAGACATAAAACACTACATAGACAATTTTTGATTGAGCGACAAGAATCCACCAAAAACTGTGGTATTCCGGTTAACAGACTTATGACATCTGTAAATTTCAGAAAATAAAAAATAATTACAGACCTTTTCGCGATCTTAGAATAGGTAATTTTTCAAATACAATTCAAAAATTAAATAGTATCCTATTCTTTTGAGTGCTTCAATTTTAATAGTATATGATTAATATTTATGAATCAAGACATGTCAGTTTACATTGTTTTGTCAAATTTATGTATGTACGTTATTCAATATATTAGAGCAAACAACACAAAACTCCTCAGAAATACAACATCCTAGTTTTAATATTTTTTTCCTAATTAATACATTTACGTTATTCAATATATGAGGGCAAACAAACAAAAAACAAAAAAAACTCATCAGAAATACAATATCATAGTTATTAGAGTTAATGGGAACATATCAGGTGTTTTCTGCAATGTAATAACGAGAATGGTTAAAAAATAATTTAATTGACTGTATAAGTTCTAATCAGAAGACATATTGATTCAGTTAGACATGGACTTCCAACATG